AAATTTAAATTTAAAGTTGTCGTTTCTTTACTGAAAGTTATTGTCACTCTGCTTTCTTTACGTCTGAATGGATGAAGTGATATTGTGATGCTATGAAGATGAAAGAAAGAACAATTTAATGTATACTCGGAAAAAAATGCGAGTCTCAGATGGGATTTGAACCCACGACCTTCCATGATCTAGTCGGATGCTGTAACCTCTGAGCTACTGGAGACTATGGTAAGCAAGGGTCAATTTGTGGGTCTTGACTGGAACCGCATCGCGCGGCTACACGCCAAGTATTGACCAGCGCATGTGAAACTCACTAACAGCAACACGCTGTCACATCAAAGCATAACAAGATGCGCCCAACCGCATGGGTTCAAATCCCATCCGGGACTCATTTTTTTTTCGAGTATACATTAAACTGTTGTTTGTTTCATCTTCATATACTCACTTTGGAGGTTGGTTGGCCGCATTTGACCGTCAGTGTTTCACTCGCTTTCGTTTAAAACCATCTGAAGTTATCCTTGTAACAATTTTGTTAATTTCATAGTCATGGGAAACTGTCAGACTCGAAACATTTAATAAAGAGACGTATACCAAACTTTAGGGATCCACCTCGTCCAAACTTTCCTCCTTATGTGTCACCACTAGTTACTTCCCTATAATATATAGATTTAGCCAAGCCTTAAAGCGGAGCTCCCAATAAGTGAAAATTTAGCTATAAAATTTCTTAACAGATATTAAAAATTTTTAGCCAAAAATTCATTCAGTTTAGATTTAACGCATTTACACTTGCGTGTAACACGTGCCTGTAAAAATTCAAAATTTTGGAGAAACCCAGAAAGCAAACACAATCCGCAGTAAATTTTTAAAAACCATCTTTCCAAAAAACAAGCTCTAGTGAAAGAAGACTAATTAAAGAACRATTTTCCGACGAAAAAAGCGATAGGTGTAAATTACGTATTTACTGAAAAATCAAGATGAAAGATAAAAATCGCTAAATATTTTCGCATGTGTGCAAATGGGCATGTGGATCATATTTCAAAATGGAATATGCGAATTGTCCGTGAGTGAAGAGATCTCAAGTTCCATGGAATCTAGCAATAGGGAGCAAGGCTAAAATGGCCAAGAAATGATTTCGGGACGACAGATTTATTTAAAACAGTTTTCAATTTGCTGTTATAGGCGAGAAACGTGCGAATTTCTTACGTGTACCAAGCCCACGCTGTAAAATTCATCATGCTCAGATCGTTGTTTACTTGCCTTCAAGGCCAGAAATTGCGCAAAGTTATGTTGAAAATTCTTAAAAAACTTTGATTTGACGCAAAATCTTCTATTAAACAACACTTTTTGAACATATTGTTAGTCGAACATAATATTTACCGAGCCATCGAATCGTCAAATTGTCGCTAGGCCCTGCTTAAGTCCAAAAGTTCGGTTTTCACTTTACATCCATAACTCGCATCGCCTTGAGAATCGTAGTGTCGTTGACTCGAGAGCTTATTCTGTCACCTTTAAGACCTTGATATCCATTTTTTTCCAAGAAGAGTATTCTATGGCATTGTTACTTTACATTCTGAGTTCCACAAGGTCTAACTCGATCGAAAATGAACGAAAAATCCGACCTGAAAATTTTGAGAGTCGGCTGCCCCGGACGCCATAATTTCAAATTTGATCATATGGTACTTTCGTGATAGCATACATGACAGAGGGCACGCACTAACGCACCTACGAACGCTCGCTCAGTCACGTGACAACCAAACGAAAAAGAGGTTAACCAAATACCATGGGTATGGGGCTCTGCCCCACACGCGCGATAAAATTACGGGCCTCTTGGACTCAATTGGTGTTTCACCTGTTTTTCACATCCGACTACTATGTTCACTCTATGAAACCGCTTTACTCGTTGGAGATGTTAGCAGAGCATAATAATTTGAGCTTTTGCCTGAAACGTTCATTTAGCAGAGCATAAATATAAGGATTGATGGCAGAGTTGAACATGAACAAGGTGTCAGAATCGACGTATGTGACTGAGCCAAATATGAAGATGTCAAGGTAGCTTAAGATGTAAATCAGCAATCCTGTGATCCAACAAGCTCCAAATATGGCACTGACAGTGATCACACTCAGTGTGACTCGCTTCCTCACTTTTAGGACTCCCTTTAAAAAAGAAAGAGAATAAGAACAAAACTCAAAGGGCGATGGCTTTTTGGCTGACAGGCTGTTTAGCTCCTCCCAAATCCTCAGTATGAGAAACAAACTTTGCCAAATCTATACAGTCGTCATGGTAACTCAACTGCAGTGATAGTGAGGTTTTCCAGACTGTATCTATGATTATTTTTTTGTCTCGTGGTAATAATCCTGCCCTGCTTTGCAATGACATTATAACACTGTGTTGCTAATTAGTTATTTGCCCACAAAGAGTAGGCATGCAATGGACCCCGAACCAATGATTCCTGTTAACTTGCTTTAAAACACCAGGGACAAAACGAATATGAGATAAACTTAACTCAAAGTCCTACCTTTTGCTGATAGGCGAGTTCATTCTGCTCGTTTCGTTTGAACCACAACATGTAAACAACTTTGGAATATGCAACAGTCATCACCAAAAGAGGAATTAGAGCCAACAATACCAGCCATATGGTGTCGTAGAGTGCACCCATCCACCGCTCGTGCCAGTTCCACTTACAGTTGCCAGTTGTTTTATCAAACTTTGTAACCAGAAAGATTGGTATGCAAACAAGCACTCCAACGATCCAACAAACGGGAATAACCACCTGAAATTAACCCCCAGAGGGTCAGAAAACTGCATCATGCTCGTCATGATCAGAGGTTTTCCACAACCAACGAGATTTAGAAAAATTAGAGGCACGAGAATTGGAAATCAAACCTGTACCAATTTGATGCATTGTGTTACATACAATTCTGTTCACAAACCTTTATTTTCCGCATGGTAAATATCGCTTTGCTACCAACAGCACTTGCGACAGTGTAGAAGCGTTCAACTGATATGACAACAAGGGTCAAGGAGGACGAGGCTACTCCAATCCATGCCACATTACCACCTGTGAGGATCTTACACAGGACTGATCCGATGCCTTCGTCTGGATGGATGAAGGTTTTTTTAAAAATATGATTTGGTGCTATGAATATCGCGAACACGATGTCTGAGACCGCCAGGTTGACAAGTAAGTAGTCGATAGGAATCCTGCGAAACAAATACTAATTATGCATTGTAAACACGAGTCAGGTAGCTCTTCCTGCACAATGCAGTCAATGACAAGAAAATCCAATTCTGTATTGAGTTATAGTTGGCTTGCCACAGGGGCAAGTCATTTCTTTCACATCGTGTCTTTTGTAAAGAACATCGGGGCTTGGTTTTCTGAGAAAAAATGGAAGAGTTTTAACATATTTAACATACCTCATATCTCTATTTTTCTTTACAACGAGACAGACTAGAAAGTTACCAGTGATGTTTGCAATGATGAGCAACGCCAATATGGTTGTCACGGCAATGTCAGCTGGTTCAGACATTATTAGAAGCTGTCAAAGACAAAATAAATGTTTTTACGCCTCGTTTCAAGTACAAACTAATCAGTTATATCGTTAATTTTTCCCTAACTTTCCATGAATCATTTGAAAATTGTGTTCCTTTCATTACTTTGGCTAATCATTTTATTTGCCAAACGCTGTATGATTTTTGTTGCACCTATCCTAATCCAAACAACCAGCTTTTAAGCTTTTAGACGTTAATTTTATAGTTAAAATCATCGATTCAAAAAGATCGACAGTGGTTTAGCGTTGTCTGTTCTCTTATTGACAACGATAGTCGTCATGTAGTGGTCAAAAATACCGCTGGACCCACGAGGCGCAGCCGAGTGAGTCCGCAACAAATTTTGAAAGACTTCTCTCCATATCAATTTTAACACCCACACAGCTAAGTTTGTCTTCGAAATAGTTGACCAAATAGAACTTGTGATAATCATTAAAATTGGAAATAATTATCAAGTTCCGAAATTTCCCCTGTAATGAGAAAGACATGTCAAACTACTGAAAATAATATGCACGTGATAATTGATGACTGAATGACATCCGAAGTAAAAGCGCAGGTGCATAAAGAAGAAATTTTAAAAATATAATGCTAAATAATTTCAAGTTAAACGATTTGGTGCACCTATTCTACTCCAATTAATTGAGAACTTCGTTTTTTAAAACTATGAGGGAATAACTTCAATTAAATCACTAACGGCAAAATTATTGTTTTGACTTGAATTTCATAATTAACACTATAGACAGAACTTTGAAGTTTAGAGCAAGAACAGGTTAACTTATTACGGCTTCACCTTACTTTGTTTGTAATTTCATGCCGAGGTGAGTAGCAATAACTTGCAATTTGATCTTCCTCATGTAAAATCTCAAAGATTGTTTACATGAATGAAAATTGAAAGAAGAATTCGTTATGAAAATTATCCCGCTATTAGCAGGTAATATACTGGTGACGGTGACGTTTTGATAGTGGAACCGTTGCCCATCTTCTTTTTCTTTTCTAGTGAAATTATAAATGGATCAAGATTTTCTTCTACTAAAATGAAAAAAGAAATTAGTAACGAATGACAGTTTGTTTAAAAATAAGACAAGTGAAATGAAGTTAGGTGAACTTAGTTAACGTCATATCAATAAAAAATTGCAATTTTGTTTCAGTTTTAAACATAAATAACTAAAAGGAGCACTGAAATTTAGAATGGCGTTCGGGAGAAACGCGACTCTCACAAAAGATCTTGCCCTGAGACGACATGGAAACGGAACACGACCGTTTCTATTTTGGTGCTTATGCCAGTCCATATACATTAAAACTTCATGTCGGCCTACAAATTCAGGTGAATTATCCTCCACTACCTAAAGTATGCTGAAATAGTTAATTATTTCCGTTTCAATCCCTACCTTTTTTCTTTAATCAATCTTTTCCTTTAATACAATGTTTCCTTTGCTCGCGTTGATTAGTCAAATCCTAACCATCGTACTGTGTCGAAAATCGAAAAAACATTCAACTGTTATGTAATATTTATGAGAGCAGAAGACTCACTTTTAATTACTTTTGGAGCACCTGGCACATCATTCTGAAACCTCTCATTGACATTCTTAAAAACTAATTACATGTTTCTGGCTTACTGCACGTAATTCTGCGAAAAAACCCTCATTGAAGTTGTTATTGACAGTAAAACAGGAGCACCTTATATTTAAATTTGTATTGACAAAGGGAAATTTGTTTTATTATTTTTACTGTTTTTTTTTTTTTCAAGATTATCAGTCGAAGTTTCATTTCCATTCTCATAGTAAGCTTTACTAATTCTCTTGGGTTCTGACTGTCAGTGTGGTGGTTTTGTCTTTTACCGACGGAACTCGGCGTGTTTGGCTGAACTAAGCCGCTTGATTATTGACGAGGATAAGACATTTTATACTAGTTTTTCAAACTTACGAGACTAGCTTACCATTATTTGTGACACATAGAATGTCTTAGTATGATAATTAAGGAGAAGAATAATGTCAGCTAACCAAACACAGTGTTTATGATCACTCATGCAAAGTGAAAGAAGTGTTTCATGGATTATACTTTTCTCGAGAACTACACGAGAACCCGAATGGCTCTAACTGTCAGAATAACTCAAATAAATGGAGTTAGCCAAGGTAGATATTAACCTTGGTATCTTATTAAAATATAATGATATTTGATGAGCGAGCTTCACGTCTAATTTCTTCACATTTGTTAAAATTCATTCATAGACAATGCATTGTCACGAGTCCCCTCTGGATAGAACTCTTTACATATTAGAATCTCCCGTGAGGCGTTAAGATTGCAATGAAGTGTTTAGCATAGATCGTGACAGATCCTTTTAAATGTATGCCATGGTTCCATCTTCCAGAAACTTAGACCAATAAAGCCACGGCTAGGCAGCAAACGTACCCAACAGTCTTTCATTGGTTTAAATCTATTTTAATGATAGAAAATCCGGTCAAGACTCATAGAACGTACCGCTTAATAGTTAATTATCGGATAAATTTATATCAAAGAAACTACGGCTAATTATAGTTCACCACTAAATTTTCTCCGGTTCTTATTGGTTTAAATTGATCACGTGACGCGATAGTGTTCATCCGTGGAGAGACACTATCAGCCCATAGTGCCCGCCCGCGGAAAATACCCGGATGGATAGTGCTCGTCCGCGGAAAACACCTGGATGGATAGTACTCATCCGTGAAAATTTTAGAATAGTTTGACGACCGCGAAGCTAGGCAGATCGGAAAAACAGTGACTTTTCAATTCTGACAGGTATAACGTATTATTTAGCCAATGTACGGTTGCGAATTATTGACAT